GTGGTCTGTGCGTGGTCTGTGCGTGGTCTGTGCGTGGTCTGTGCGTGGTCTGTGCATGCAGTGCAAACATTTGGCACTGTGTTGTGTTAACATCAACTGGACGTTTTGGCTACTATATGGAAAATCTGGGATGTTTGACCAAACTACAAAGTCTAAACTGGAGACAGCATTCCCACTTATGGTGTCAGGGTCACAGAGGTGGCTACCTCCCCCTGCTCCTCTGGGGGACACTGATGTGGAGCTCTCACCCGTCTCTAAGGGTGATGGAGGACCGCCCTCTGAGGAAGCTCTTTCCCGCTGCTTGTTCTTTCGGTCGCTGCTCTCAGGTGAAGATGGAAGCAGAGGCTGTGCCGCGTCGTCTCCTCCAGTCTTTCATTGTTTTTGTCATGCAAGAGAAAATTTGCACGCGTGTCAATCGTCTCTCATCACCGTCTAGCAGCTCGTGCAATCAACCAGCGCCTGGAATAATAAACATTTCACTTCCTGAAGCTGAAAGGAAGGTTCTCCATTTTTCCAGGGAATCCTCCGGACACCAGCAGAGCTTCATCTCTGTCGCTGCGTTTATACTTTTACTCTGAGATTTCATAGGAACCGTTTTTATCTGAACTGTCCGACGTGTCACAGACGTGTCACAGACGTGTCACAGACGTGTCACAGACGTGTCAGACGTCACGTGTGGGTGTGAGCGACAGACACGCAGTCGCTTGTTTTGTTCTTTTGTTTGACTTTTATGACACAGTTGTATCATTTATAGCTCACTGCTCGTTTAATCTGCTGCTTTGTTATTAACATGTTGGCTGTTGATCACCTCCAGTCCGGCGAGACGGCGCTACACGTGGCTGCTCGCTATGGCAACGTGGATGTGGTGAGCTACCTGTGCAGCATCCGAGCCAACCCGGACCTGACGGACAGGGTGAGCGAGCGCAGCGACAGCATCGGGATAATGACCGAGGGGTTGTTGGAGGGCCGCGGGGTTTTATCTTTGTTCCACGTTTCTGTCTGCAGGAGCAGGAGACGCCGCTGCACTGCGCCGCCTGGCACGGCTACTCTCCGGTAGCCCGAGCTCTGTGCCAGGCTGGCTGCCACGTGGACGCCAAGAACCGCGAGGGGGAGAGCCCGCTGCTGACGGCCTCTGCCCGCGGCTTCGTGGACATCGTGGAGTGCCTGGTGGAGCACGGAGCCGAGCTGGAAACCAGCGACAAGGTGACCAGAGTCTGATTTATTTTGGCACATTTTACTTTCACGTGTTTTTGTGCGACTAACAGGTCTCACAGCACGCTGACGCTGACGTCACGGCCTCGTTGAATGACCCTCTGTCCAGCCTCCACCTGTGCAGGTCACAGACACTGACCAGTCTGTGTTTGTGTCTCCAGGAAGGACACACGGCTCTCCACCTGGCTGTGCGTCGCTGTCAGGTGGAGGTGGTCCGCTGCCTCCTCAGACACCGCTGCCAAGTGGATCAGCAGGACCGCCACGGAAACACGCCGCTCCACATCGCCTGCAAGGACGGAAACCTGCCCGTCGTCATGGCGATCTGCAATGCTAAGGCCAGCCTCGACCTTCCCAACAAGGTGAGCGCAAGCATTTCCCCCCAGACGGCCCGGAGACGCTCCCTGAGGCGTTCCCAGACCGACACAGCTGTCCTCCTGAGAGCGAAGGTGGAGGTGAAGGACCTCCTCCTAACTCTGCGCTCCGCCCCCTCCCTCATATTCAGACACTGATGTTAATGGGGGGGGTTTTATTTTTCAGTCCTCGCCTGCGGGAGCCGTCCCGATGCCATTAGCATGAACACGCTTTCTGTTTTACTCTCCTCTTACATAATCTGAAAGCACCTCAGCGCAGCTCAGCGATGCTGCTGTTATGTGATGTGTTGATGAGTCAGGCCAAACATGTCTCTGTCTTATAAAACACGCTCTGCGTGACCAACAGCACCTGAGTGATTGAGCTAGCAGCCTCGGCGCTGCAGCCTCGGCGCTGCAGCCTTTCACCCTGCGCTCTGTTCGCTCTGAATCTGCAGCGATCGTGCTGTAGATGGACTGTAGCGTGTTTTGCATCACTATCTGTCACAGGAGTCTTAGAAGCACAAGAAGAGCAGAAGTTAACGACAGCTAACCGAAGCACACTCAGCTTGATGCTCTGCAGGAAATAAGATCCATGAAGTAACCTTCCTCACGAAGAAGACTCCTTTAAATCAAACCTCATGTCTCATGTGTCAACATTATCAGCCAGTGTTGATCTTAAACTTGACCACAGTTTCAGACGATGAGGTCAGTGTCTGTCAGTAATCCCTGCTCTCACAGACTAATATGGTCGCCTCACTTGTGTGAGCACAGAGCTCCACCCACCTGCTGCTCGGTTTGTGAGGAACGGCCAATGAGAGGAAACTATGTCATAGGTGAAGGAGTTTGAACTGAGAGCTGCTGCAGAGCAAATGTAGCTCAAGAAGAATCAGACGAGTTTAAATGAGTGTTTTAGATCTTTGCTTTGCAGCTGAGCTAAATGAGGCCGAATCACAGGGATGAAAACACAGGAAGTAGAATATAACGCAGTGTAGGGTTTACAGACGTACGTGCTTTCTGCTGACATATTTTAAAATCGTCTTTCTCCTCATATCTCCCGTCCTCCTCACACACCTCTAAAGCTCTCGTCCTCTCGTCTCCCACGTTTCTGTCTGCGCTGATTCTACTTTCTATTTTGACACCGTACATTTAAATAGATTCTGCGACGGGGAAGCTTTTCTCGGCTTTTTCTGCAGAAACCTGTTTTCAGCCTCGCACAGGGAGGTGATGTGCATCGGGAGCAGACAGCGCTGCCAGAGACGTCGTGGTTTATGCATTAGTTTCAGCTGCAGCTTGTTTCTTTTAAGCTCGAGTGAAGCAGCGAATCACAGGCTGCTGACTCTTTGCTGTCAGCTGCAGACACCGAGCAGAGAAATCAGAGGCTGGGATTGAAACTCCAGCTCAGTTTGCAGCATAACACAAACATGGTGGATGTTCTTTGTTCTTTCAAACTGCTGCAAAGGAGAACAGACTGAATGCCTCCGTCACTGAGCTCTGATCCCAAAGCTTTTACTGTACGACATCAACATCGAGCTGTTCTGATTTAACAGATATTGTCGTATGAAATTGATGGTAATTACATGGTGTTTACAGTAATTAGCTTTGTTTTCAGGGCGCTGTGTTCCTGCTCTAATCAGCAGTTTTATTCTTCAGGCCGAGCGACACAGCGAGCAGCCGATCAGCCCGCCGAGGCGCGACCGTGCGCTTAATTAGGCCGAGTTAGCGCGAGGCGAGAGGGGAAAACGCCGTTCAGTGTTTGTTTAGGAAATGTGATAAATGTTGATTTCAGTGTTTGTGTCACTCTTTTCCCTCCACAGTGACGGCAGGTTAAAGAGAGCCACGTTTTATTTGTGCCAGCTTTCTTCTGATTGGCTGCTCCTCATTAACAGGAAGTGGGCGGGGCTTCTCATAGAGAGATGTGTACCTGAGAAAACCATAAGATATCTGCTCTGTATGACATCACACAGATTGGCGGTGTTTGAATGTGAGCTTCTTAAAAACGCTTCTGCCTCAACATTTAAACTGAGCGCGCTCAGAAGGTTTTGGCGTTTTCAGGAATCCTTATTCGAGCATTTCTGCCTCATATCTGCTCGGCAACATCAGTTATTGAGAATAACCTGTAAGTGTCAAAGCAAACATGAAGCCTGTGTCCGGCGCTTGCTGAAAGCTGCTTTCTCTCTCTCTGTGCGTCACAGTCCGGCAGAACTCCGCTCCACCTGGCGGCGAACAACGGGAGCCTCGAGGTCGTCCGCCATCTCTGCCTGGCCGGAGCGAACATCGACGCCGTCACCAACGTAAGGCACCTCTCTGTTTTACCGCTCGGGCGGGTGTAGCAGCACCATCATCGTGACTCTGACAAACCCAGTGCAGCCCTTTGGTCACACGCTGTGTTCACACGTGAAGCTGCTGCACTTTGCTCGAGTGTGGTGGGGGCGTGTCCACGCCGACACGCCTCATATAGTATGTAAATTGAAACGTCGTCCCGTGCTTGTTCAGGTATCGTTTGCATGCAGATTGTTAATTTTCTGCTTGGGCTGCAGACGACGTCGCTGCTCACGAATTCTCAGTAAAACTGTGAAATTCTTCTGGCATCGTTCCCTCACCTCCGCCCTCGTCTCCGCCCTCGTCTCCGCCCTCATCTCCGCCCACCTCAGCTGCACCACCTGTTTGTTTTTAATAATCTCATCCTCTCAGAGGTTTTCAAGGCGAAACCTTCTCCATGTTTCTTCTTTCTTCACGTTACTGAAGTTCTTTCGACCTCTTGCACCCTGATACGTTTCCTTGCAGTGTCCCGTCCACTCACCTCACAGTCTGAGTCTCTTAAACTCTTATTAGAATATTTAAATCCCAGCTGGCAGTTTAAGAGCTGCCAAGGATTTTAAACATTAGTTATTAACATGTTTGGAGGCTTTAAAATTTCTCTTTGAAAGTCCAAGAAGTAAAAAACTGTGAGCATAACTTCAAGACTGTTTAATTTCCAAAGACGTTTCCTGTAGTTTACGTCTGTGGGGTCATTACGAGCGGTTGGCTTTATTCAGGGGATTGTGCAGCAAGAATTAGGAACTTGTGCCGTGTAAAATGAACCCTAACCCTGAGGTGAAGACTCCTGTTTTTCAGCTGTTTGCTGTACGAGGCAGAAGAAAGTGAGCAGGAGAAACGGCTTCGTTATTGTGCAGATGAGATATTTAAGACGAGTGAATTCAAGCGTGGATTTCGTGACTGCACAGAGACGTTTGTGCCGAGTCGGCGCGGCAGGTGAGGCGTTAAAGGCTTGAGCGGCCGCGGGCTGAGAGCTTTTATCCAAGCGCTCGGGATCAAATGGAGCAGGCTCCACATTCAGCCCTGAGTGGGTTTGACTTCACGGATAAGTGGGAGTTCATGTCCAATCATTTTAGATCTAAAAGGATTTTTATTCCTCGTTCAAAGCTCGGCGCTCTGAGCTGATGCTTCTCCACGCCGAAGGCCAGGAGATGACTTCACCTGAGCGGCGTCCAGGATCCAAGTTGTTTTATGTGTTTATGAAGAACTGTTATCATGATTTTATAAATCAAACGTAATTGAAAGAGTTACGTCACGAGCTAAAATTTCATTTATGTAAATGTTAATTTTGATCGTTTGAAGTGTAACAAACAAAAACACTCGTGTCAAATGTTCGGTACAAGAACTGGACTCAAGATGACCTTCAGCAAACCTGGAGAGCACGTCAGGGTCGGCGCCTCCATCACGGGCGCCTCCCTGCTTCTCCTGCCAGCTCCCAACATGACCTCAGTTGTTCTTGTGCAGATGTTTTCAGCCTGTTCAGATATGATTTCCAGATGTTTCCAGCGTTCTCCTCGATATCAGAAGTAACGTGTTTTTGTCCATCTGTCATTGAAACTCCTCTCAGATCTAATTCTGCTCGAGTCCTGATGCATTATGAATTAATGCGCTCTGTTCTTTTTTCATGCATTTCATTAAATCTGGTTCCAGCAGCAGCGCTGAGGTTTTTCCCGCTCTGCGTTCCCGGGATGTTAATATTGTATGGCGGCTGATGTGCTGTGCATGTCTAAGCGCACACTGGGATGTATAATTCAGTGTCGGGAGGACAACCTTCCACGGTGCCTCTGTGATCTGTGCCTGGTTTTTCTGTGGAGGCTGAAATATTCTTCCAAATCCTTCCAGCCTCTGCCGATTTCACCGTTCCTCGTCGTTCCCGAGCTTCCGATTCAGCAGATATTTAGTCTGGGCTGGAAATACTGCGGATGATCTAATATTCCTCACATAACGCCAGCCGTTCATCTGTCCCTGCCGGGCATCA